CAGCAGGACCATCAGGACCATCAGGATCAGCAGGACCATCAGGACCAGCAGCAGGACCAGCAGGACCATCAGGACCATCAGGATCAGCAGGACCATCAGGACCAGCAGCAGACTCACCTACAGATGCTACTGGTCCTGCTGGTCCTTCTGCTGGTCCTGAGGTCCAGCTCAAACCAGCCCTGTCCAGAACTTTGGGCTCTAAGTGAGCTTCATGCAGTCAGAACATTCCGGGTCTCACCGTTGGTGTCTTTGATGTCCACGGTGGCGCCGGCCTCCAGCAGCGCCGCCAGCAGCTCCGTGGTTCCTGTGAGGGCGGCGTGATGCAGCGCTGAGAAGCTGTGGGTCAAAGGTCACAGCAGAGACACCCAATCAGATCGACTGATCATCATCCAGGAACTAAAACCTTTTCCTGAGTCCCTGAAGCTCTGCAGAACTTTATAAACCAGATCATCACAATCAGGTTCTTCACAAACTCCAAATGTTCTAAAGCATAAAAACCCAAACGTCCAGGAGGCGTCAGATAAAGATGGAGGAGAAGCAGCTCTCCCTGATGACCCAGCTCCTCACCCTCTCTCAGAAGGAGATCCCAGCCTCCCTGCAGAGGAGGCTGGGATCCAGGATCTGGATCTTGGGGTCCTGATCCAGATTAGACCATAGCAGATGTTAGGAACGTAGAGCGACCTGAGCTGAATCAGAGCTTCGCTCTCAGCAGACGGAGCAGCTTCTGGATCCAGGATCATGGAGGCAGGAACCTGAAGGGGTGGACCAGAACCAGAACCAGAACCGGAACCAGGACCAGAACCAGAACCAGGACCAGGACCATGACCATGACCAGGACCAGGACCAGGACCAGGACCAGGACCTGGACCAGGACACGGATCAGAACCAGGACCAGGACCAGAACCGGAACCAGGACCAGAACCAGGACCAGGACCAGGACACGGATCAGAACCAGAACCAGAACCTGGACCATGACCAGAAACAGGACCAGAACCAGGATCAGAACCAGGATCAGAACCAGGACCAGAACCAGGACCATGACCAGGACCAAAACCAGGACCAGGACACGGATCAGGACCAGGACCAGGACCAGGACCAGGACCATGACCATGACCATGACCATGACCAGGACCAGGACCAGAACCAGGATCAGAACCAGGACCAGAACCTGGACCATGACCAGGACCAAAACCAGGACCAGGACACGGATCAGGACCAGGACCAGGACCAGGACCATGACCATGACCAGGACCAGGACCAGAACCAGGATCAGAACCAGGACCAGGACCAGGACCAGGACACGGATCAGAACCAGAACCAGAACCTACCCATGGCCAGAAACAGGACCAGGACCAGAACCAGGACCAAGACCAGAAACATGACCAGGACCAGAACCAGGACCAGGACACGGATCAGGACCAGGACCAAAACCAGGACCAGGACCATGACCAGGACCAGAACCAGGACCAGGGCAAGGACCAGGACCAGGACCAAAACCAGGACC